GATTCAAAGCAGGATACTGTGGGCATATTTGAGGCATTTCTATCATTAGGATATATTATACAATATTCAGACAAAGGCAAAAAAAATGAAAAGTTTTAAAATATTCGGAAGAGCAGTATGAAGAGCTTATTCTATTTCACATATTACCAACCAGCTGTTCAGTCTGTTTCTGTATGTGGCAAATGAAACCCTGGCCTTCTCAAATGTCTTAAAATATGTAACCATTTAGCGTAATCCTTACTGGTGGCTCTCTCTCATGCGCACGTGCGCACACACACACACACACACACACACACACACACACACACACACACACTTTCCCACAATACATCTGTGTTTTGCACAGCAAGACAGAAGTGCAGATGTACTAATTTCCTGAGCAAGCCTGTCTATTCAAGAGTAAGTATAGCAATTGCAGATCTAACTTCACAAGTCACTATTTCTGGGAGCAAAGAAACGTCCAACAGAGTTAATAGAAATACAAGTGTCAATCTATTCGAAAGACATTTTAAAAAGTTACAATAAATCTTGGTCTATAGTAATATTCTCTAGGTACAGTCACAGAGTAGAAATTCTAGTTAGCATTAATTTTTGTGAATAATGATTTTCCACTCATTTTCTAGAATTTAACCCAGCAATCTATCAGGAGATGAATTAAAGAAAACAAAGATTGAAGCCAACCTCATGACACATGTAAAACGTCTGGTCTGGAGCACAGTTCCATTCTGGGTATACCATCAGACTAAGAACTTTTAAATAAATACAATCTTGACAATTGTTTACAGATAATTCTTCTGACCTCCAGCTATTTCAAAAAAGCAGGACCAGAAGCTTTCCTCTGTCCTTCAGTTCAACAACCCCATCATTAATCTTGCCTAATGCCTCTCTCAGAGGCATGACATTTCTTTCCCACAACTGGAACTCACCAAGGGCTTCGCTTTCCACTGCAAAGTATCAGGTAACTCAAAGCTCCACAGTGCACACTACAAAGGAAAAGTTTGTGGTCCATGGATTGTGTCCACTTGAGTTAAACAGTAGCATCTGGTTGTGAGGCAAGGGACACTACCACTCAGCATTTTCCATTCTGCTTTGCTGTGTGGCTTAAACTGAAGAGGTCACTTTCTGCAAGGGAAGACTCTACCCTTTACTGACATCCCAGCCTTCCAATCCCAGCCAGCGAATCAGTCTAGAAATGCTGTGGGAAAGCTCCACCCAAAAGACTGAGAAAAGTACCAAGTATGAAGACACTTAAGTAAGCAGGCACTAAAGGGATAGAAAAAACAAACATTTCATGTATATTTATTCCAAAATAACAAGAGAAAAAGAAATTGACCTGTCCATACATTTCAGGAAGGAATAACTGCTTTTAATTTACTATTTCCTTTAATAAAACAAGGGTAACACAGCAGTTTAGCATTCATTCAGAGTGTCATGCAGACAAAACAATCTGAATTATCACCATTGAAGTCCAAGTTCAAACACTTTCCTATTCAAAATCTCTTTAGTTTAGCCTCAAAATGAACAGACAAGGCATAATATACTAATAGGCATCCTGGTGTTACATTCAGCAATTGAGGTTTTCAACAACAAATTTGCCTGCGTTTGCAACTACAGCTAACTGAAAGTTTCTGAAATAAAAAGAATAACTGGGACCACTACTGTGGCACAGTGAGTTAAGTCACTGCTTACAGCACTGGTTTGAGTCCAGGCTGCTCCACTTCCATTCTAAATCCTTATAAATGCACATGGAAATGCAGCAGCTGAATACTTGTGTCCCCAGATCGACTTTTTGGATTCTGGCTTCACCCTAAACGAGCCCTGTTTGTTGTTCCCATTCCGGGAGTGAATAAAGAATGAAAGCTCTGTCTCTTTCTGCTGCTCTGCTTTCTAATAAATACACAAACTTTTCTTAAAAGAATCAACTCAAAATCAAATTTGTTCTTTTTAGTCTACACATTTTCACAAGCCACTTAAATAAAACTTCATAAAAAATTTCAGAAAATTCAATACCACAGGTTAAGTATTTAAGATAAATGGCATCATTCAAGGTCCATATACACTAACTTCCTACTTAGGTAACATGGTACTAGGCAGCTCATCCTTTTCCTCACATACAAGTAGATAATTTCTAATTTGCTTCATCATAGCCATTTGGATGTTTCAGAGGCATGATAAAAATCATTTCTTTTCACTAAAATCCAAATTTGCCATCATTGCCATTCAAATAGAAATGCTGCCTATCTCAGCAAGGGGCCTAAGAACCCCCACACCAATTATGCATCCTGAAATACTGGGGAGTCTCTTTCCGGAACCCTACTGTTCTGTATTTTCCTAGAAGAATCCATTTCCTCCTGTTCCCATTTCACTTTTGAGGTCTATTTCACACACCTCCCTATAACCACAGTGTCACCTTCTGACTTTAAGCAACAGTCCGATAGTTCCCAAACAAGTTCGTCCACAAGCAATCTTGACTCCTCTACTCTTCACATGACATTTAAAAATACAAATATGCATTACTCTCTCTAGGATGTTTCTATTGCATATCAATCAGTACCCTGGAAAAGAAGTAAAATATTATAAACCTTTTAATAAGCCTGTGCATGAGGCCCATGCCTCCACAGTCCTCTGTATTTCAAACATTTTACATCTTCTTCCTATAAAATGTAGGTTCTTTCCCACAACTGAAGAGTGTTAGTCATATTCATTCTTTTCTTTGTTTTGGAACATTTGGAAGGCTTTTCCTATCCTGTGATATATCCCATCTCTAGCAAATTTTTTTCTCAGTATTCAGATATCTATTCAGCCAATATTTCTTGCAAAAAGTGTTTTCTGCTTCTATGGACAAGGCTGGGTTTCATTAATTATATCCTTGAAAAGAGACTGGTATTTAATGTAGCACAACTTTCAGTGCGTTTGTAATTACTTTAGTGTCTGCTTTCCATAAGAGATGATAAGGGACCTAAGTTCAGGGATCATGCCTGGCGTGTTTACGTTGGATCCCCAATCTTATTAAATACCATACTTTCCACATGTGGGCCAATCATGATTGATAAATACTTGCTGAAGTAAATGAACACATGAATGATTCTGGTTTAGTGCTTGACTTGATAAATGATCACAACTAGTAGAGAAATGCACATAAACTCTAATTCCAGGCAGTCTGTGATAACTTATTACATAGAAGTAAGTGAAAGGACTACTTAATCCTATGGGAAAAAATTCTGGAAGATGAATGAACCCATGAGGACAGCTATATGAGAAAGATTTTCTGATGCCAGGATACCAAATAAGCCATGCTGAGCTGGCAAGACTTTCAAAGGGAAGGATAACATATATATATATATATATATATATATATATATATATATGAACAGGAACAACTGGGGCATAGACAGAGTTAGGCACATGCAGAGACTATATATTGTGTTGGAAGACACTGAAACATAACAAGTGTCAAGAGGTAGAAAGCTCTCATTATCAAGATGAAACTGTCCAGGAGAACTCCCCACTGCAAGGTTTCAGCACTGGAAGACCATATAATCAAAGATGTCAAGACACTGTAAATAGGGGATACGGATCATTTTACTTCACAAACAAGTAAGAAGAAAAAAGTAGAAACAATTTTGCTGTAGTACTGCTCAAGTAAGAAAGATCTGCTAACAACTAAATGAAAAAACCCAAATGGAGAACTTACAGGGGAAGATAGAGAAGTGATTAATGCTGTTTGGGAGACTAAATTTTATGTGTTTAAATGATATTTGGCATGAAGCTAAAATGTGGACTAAAAAAAACATATAAATAAAATTCAGGTGCATGAGCTGAGCAAATTTTATCCAGACCACAGTCAATTAGGCATTATGTACAATTTTGTAGCAAATAATTCTGAAAGCATTTTCTACAAAAAGTTTTTATTAATAGTGAGAAAAAATAATAAATAGTAAATAATAAATAATAACAAAATAACATAATAAATAAAAAATAATAAAATTTTTAAAATCAAAATTTACTGTTTGAATTGTTGATATATCACTTGTCTAATTTTTGTTGTGTTAGGTATCAGGAACAAAATGCTTCATAGTTTTCTCCTGTCTTCAAAACCATTCATTTTCTGGTTGAGCCACGTCTTATAAAACTGGCATCCCGTACTGGAGTGCGGGTATGAAGTGCAGCTGCTGTTCCCAATTCCGTTTCCTGCCCATGAGCCAGGGAAGCAGCAGATCCTGACCCGGTTAACTGGCCTCGTACAGCTCACTGAGGTACTGGGTTGGGTTCTTGCTCCTGGCTTTGCCATGTGCCAGGCGTGGCTGCTGCAGGTATCTGAGAAGTGAAGCAGCCAGTGAAGATTTCTTTTTCTTTTTCCCTCTCTCTGTAGTTCTGCCTTTCAAATAAGTAAATAAACATGTATTGCTCTAAAAAAAAATTACTTAATTTCCTATCATTGTTGGGATGAAAATAACTCAATTACAACATGATTTTCTTCTGCCCAGGAAATATCTTCAAAAAGTAAAATCAGTCTATTAGAGAAGCAGAGAAAGCAGGAGGCAGAAGAGACTGGAGCAGTGCTTCCAGCCGCAGCTTCCCTCCCCCAAACCTACAATGAGCAGAGCTGGGTGAGGCCTAGACCAGAAACTGGAAATTCATCCTGAATCTCTCACACGGATGCCATGGATCCAGGTAACTGGAGCCATCAATCATCAGCTGCTGCCTTTTAGGATTTTCACTGGTAGAGCGTGGGGCTGGAAGCCAGGGCTAGGACCTGAATGCAGATACTCTGATATGGATGCAGGCATTTTAACTTCTAGAGTAAATGTTCACCCCAACATAACTTTTTAGGTATGCCCAATCCTAATTTTTCTAACGAGGCTTACGTAAAAAGCTTAAAATGATATACAGAATTCTTTGGCAGGCCATTATAACATTTCAAAAATGCTAACATTTGAAGTCACGTTGTCATTGATTATCAGAAGAATATCTTAAGAATAATAAAAGATGACACTTACTTTTGCTGCACCTATCTGTTCTTTTCGAAATTTCTCAAGTGGTGCAATTAATACATCATTAGCGTTTTGAATCTGAAATCAAAAATGCACATATATTAAGTTTTGAATAATTTCATGCCAACAATTTTAAAAAAGCTCCTTTATTCAACTTATCAGACAGTTTTTCTACCTTATTTCTTTCTACCAAAATACCTTACTGGTTGTAAAACATATTTCTACTTTATAATTAAGCTGTTTTCCACATATTATTTTCCTTGATTGTAACAATAATGCGAAAAATTTTGAAGTAGACATGTTGAAATATTAATTTGAATAATTGAATTTCTTCTAAGACTTAGTTTAGAACAATACATTGGGCATTGAATTTATAAAAATCTTTAATTACACAGATGCACTATAGCCACTTTAGGAATCATTTTAAAACCAAACAATAGAAAAGCTCTCTCATTTTGCCCCTAAAAATGCTACAAATCTACTGCTGAAAAATCAATCAGGTTTCAATTTTCCTCTCTATTTAATTAGGTTCCTAACATTTGGGATCTTCCTGAAATGTTCTCATAGTATTTCCACCCTACTAAAATAGTACCTTCTTGGATTTCAAAAACTTCAAATTGGTATTTAAATTTTAAAACTGATACATCTTTCAATATTGATCTGCAAGAATGTTGTATAGGGGTACAAAGTGCAAGCATCAGGAACTAGATTCAGGAGTCAAACATTTCTATGGATAACATTATGCTAGAAGGGAATCCTGTTTGAACAAAAACTCAGACAAAAAGGAAGCTAGTTAACAAAATTGATCATTCACATTACTACTTTGACAACTAAACTTTCTACTATGTAATTAATAAATACTAAAGTGAAAAGAAAATGTACATAGTTAAAATATATTATTCTACTTTAAGGTTAAAGCAGTATTGGGATTGTCATCTGGCACAGCGGTTTAAGTAGCCAGCAGCTACAATGCAAGCATGCACTATGGGCACTGGTTTGAGTGCCAGCTGCTCAACTTGCTTGGCTGCTTCCAATTAAGCTCTCTGCGTTTGTTCCTAAGCAGGCAACATGGGACAGTCCAAGTCCTTGGGCCACTGACACAAAGCTGGGGAGCCCAGATGGAGTTCCAGCCTCCTGATTTTTGGCTTGGCTGCAGCTATTTGGAACTAAATCAGAGAATGGAAGGTTTTCTTTTTCCCTATTGCTCCCATAACCCCCTCCTCATTCTCTCTATGTATTGCCATAGATCTGCCCTTCAAAAAAAATCTTCAAAAAAATGTAAGAATTCCTCATACGTTTCATACAATTTATCTGTAATGTTGAAATGCAATAAAAAAGTTTAAAATGTAATGAAAAAGTTTAACTTTATTTTCATTACATTCCTTAGCTTGTAGACAAATTTTTGTTCTAATTCCATAAATGGACAACAATTAGACAGTATACGACAAAAATTAAAACAGGTTGACTGCAACTCCCAACTTTTCAGGAAAGTCAGATTACAACTCTATTAAAGAAGACCTGAAATTTTTTGCTATGTAAGCACACAGAGTAGATCAATACTCAAAATCCTTCCAAAGACATTGATGACCAACTGTAGGTAACTATTACTTCTGTCACCAAGTTCAGATTTGAGAGCTTAGGTAGACATGCAGCCAGATACACTGCAGGTGTTCTATTGGGCAAAGATGACCAAAATAATGGTGAGGTAGCTCACATTTAATTCTTACACTCTGCAAAACTCTCTGACTCAATACATACATACCACAAAGAGTTATTAATTCTACCTTTAAAGCTAAATTTGTAAAATGGAAAAGTATCGTGAACATGCTATTTAGAAGAATTACATTCACAGAGAGTAGCATTTATTGAATGATTATGTTGGAAATTACAATAAGTACTTCACTAGAATGAAATGATACATTCAAAGTTACTGAACTTGAACTAGATAATATTTCTCCAATGGGGAAATCCAAGAAATAATGCAAGATAATAAGTCACATTGTGCTTAATATATTGGAAATGGAGACTACCTGGATTGAAACCAGATTCTTTACCTTAAGTATCATGTATAGTAGCCACGTTATCTACTTATCTAGTTGGTTTTAAGGACTCATGAGACAACTGAAAACAGTTCAATACCTTACATACATGAATGGCTTTCAAAAATGTGTGAAAATGCATATCATGAAAAAAACTGTGCATTCATTAGAAAAATTTCTGCATCATCATAAACTTACCTTTCTCTTCAATTTCCCACACATTTTGAAGTAACTTTATTTAATTGATCAAAGATGATAGTTTTTATTATATTTCAAAATAAACAGATTATTAATTCATTTTGTATTTGCCTGAATAATATCATTCTACACCTGAATCTATATTATCCTTTTGGCCAAGCTATACTTATGTGAATATTATAAGAAGGTATTTTTCTCATGCAAGCCCTGTATGACAGATGACTTGGGACTTCCCACATGCAATAACCATATATTCATATATTTGTGTACTAGGACTATAGTACTGGGATTCATGGCAGACAGAAAAAATGACAGACAGGTTAACCTCCTAGAAAGCTAAATTGAGACGGGAAAAATAAACATATGCATTCAAGAAGCATCTGATGCTTACAAAGCACACCTTAGAGGTTACTCATACTGTGAGTGTCCTGACAAAGGCCATGGCTTAAGTCTTCTAAAACAGAAGTAGTGAAATCAAAGTGCAGCACATCAATCACTGTTTGGCACACAACAGAATCTATGGACACACTAACTGTTATTTTCAATAATATTTGGATGTCCATTATATAACTGGTAATGGTAATATACATCATATGTTCATTGAGGGAACTCAACAGAACCAAGTAATGAAAGTTTCAATTACACTAAAAATGGAGGTTGAAAAGTAGTCTGAATATGGAGTCACTATAAGGTTTTAAACAGAGGAACACTATTTTAACACTTTTTATTAAGAAGCCAGTAATAGGACATTCACATGTAAGATGCATTAGGAAAGAATAAGATGGTGATAGGACAGGCTAACTAAGCAGCGGGGACAGGAACTCAAGTCTGAAGTCCCAGATGAAACTGAGTCCTTCAGTGTTGACAGAGGGCTAGGAGAGTCTCCTTGAGATATTTCCTCAAGAAAAATAAAAAGGGTACTAGTAGGAAGAAGAGGAATCAAAGACTAAGGTCTTATTTCAAACACTGGAAGTTTCTGGTGCCTTGTTCAGAAATGCAGTAAATGAGGTAGAGAGTAGGTTTGGTACAGAAGGAATACAAATAATTCCACTTTGAATTTATTAAACTTTTTGTTACAGAAATTCTCAAAGAAACACGGTGGAAGAAAATTCCATTTCACAATGAAAGAACTAACTAATATGAGAGTGTGTGTGCTTAAGTTGTGAAAGACAAGGTTAGGAAAAAGAGTGGATAGGCCAATCTTTATATTAAATTCTTGGCACCCACACTTATATCCAATGATTCAAATCTCTGCTAAAATCCTTTTCTGGCAGCTACATAGATATGACCTGGGAATAAGGAAAAAGCCTGAGGATATAACAAAATGGGATAATTAACAAGCACCCTTTGTGGCAAGTATTATTTCCTATCTCTATTGCTTCCATATTTCCCGGTTTATTTTTCTTTTGGTTTTGGATTCGCTCCACATTTTTCTCCACTATTCTCATTCTGTTAAAACCAGAGGAATGAAAAAAAAAAAGTGGCATAGGTACTCAAAAAAAAAATGAAGAAAATGAAGCAAGCAGAGAAAAATATCCAATTGGGTGATCAGGATAACAATAGAAATGATTTGTTGAGTGCTTCTCATGTGCCAAAGAGTAGACTAAGCTTTTCACAACGTAGAGACTAAAGATGATTTTATATGAGTAATGAAGTCCCCTCATCTGGAGTACATTAAGTGGATGAGTGCTAAAGTTAGACCCAGCTTCACTGGAATCTCTGTATCAAAATTTATAGCACTCAATGTCTTCATCCTTTTCCCTCTTAAGGTTCTTACAAAAATTAGTGGAAAAGTACATATCTTTTCAAAAATTATTAGCACTGATTTGGCATTTGACAAGGTTATTTTAGGCTTCTTCAAAGAACTGACTTTGCATTCTGTTCTTAATTGTCCAAACCAATCTCTGTAGTTTCCCACAATTTAAAATGTAATTATCCAATGATTCAAAATGTAGTTATTCAAGGGTAGAAAATAAAATCTAAATTAATATAGAAGAATGATACCCTGCCAGAGATTCAACAATAGTAGACAATCATGAACTCCAATTTTTCTTAACCCACTATAATATGTGTGTAGTTGTACATCTGAAATTGCTACTGTTCACAGTGTATGGGTTTAAATCATCAGATCAAGATGGAAATGCCAACACCCAAAAGACACTAAATTGATTCATGATCTGATTTGACTGCTTCTAAACTTCACATCTGTGAGACCCCCCAGGAAATGTGCGACTTTCTTCCTAGCACATTGGTCAATCATTTGATTAAGATTCTTTAATTCAGAAGTATTCCAAATGTGAAATAAAAAGGTGTTACAATTTGGTAAGATTGAAAGAATTATGGTTGCTATTAAGGAAAATGACACAGAATTAGAAAACTCATGCTAAAGTATGAATTAGGGTGCAAAGCTTGGGAAAGCAAAAATTCCTAGGGAAATACAATTTACCTCACATGGAATTCTTCTTCCTCTCCAGAATTTTGTGAATGGCTTGATTTATTCCTGAGAGAGTAATACTTGAGAAGAAACATTAAGTTACAGAGTTCAAGAGACCCAAGACGCCATGATATTTGTGGACTATGTGATTTGGCATAATCTGATTAAGATGCTTCAAGGAGACAACTCCAGCTGTTGGCAATGGTCTAAGTTGCATTGTACCTAAGCAAGTGTCACACTGTTGGAAGAAAAGCAGCTGGTAGCTGCTGAGCATCCTGGGCCTGATGGATGTCCACGTTGATGGTATAGTGTTAACTATACCAATGTGCCAGCACAGCCATCCACTCTATTTTAAGACATGGGGGGGGGGGTGGAATGCCAGCACACACGTGCAAGTGTGCAGGGCC